ATAAGCCTGGCAGAGAAAGACAACAATGAATGAATGAATGAAGAGAGTTCCGGGTAAGCTAGGATTCTGTTTCGAGCTAGTGTGTGAATTTATCGAGATTGTGAATCGCTGTGATTTATAGCATGTATTATAAAAGTAGTTAAGTTTAAAGTGACGAGAAACGTATTGATTGTGAAATTACCGTGTGCCATGTCACTAGATGAAATAAATCAAAAATAGGTTTCCAACAACATCATCCATATGAAAATCCAAAAATACCGGTGTAGAACACACTCTTTGGCAGTTTATGAAATACGTCATTACGAAACAAAGTGGCTTTCCTACAAGTGAAAGCCTGTAAATGTTCTAAAAGCGTGTATATTAAAAAAAAAATACTTAAGTAAACTAAGGCCAATCTAAGAAAGAAAGAAAATAAGGTACTCTTCTAATGCCATATCATTCCTTCTCTTGTTTCAAGCCATCCCTAGCATTAAATCTTAAGTCCAATAAAAAAATATATATATCTATTATTGTAAGTTGTATTTTTGTTATTGTAATTTATTAGCTAGAGGATGGATATGACTTCAGGTTTTTTTAGTATATTCGTAGTTAGATTATAAATATAAGATAACTGTGAAGTGTTCAGATTTTTTTCGAGTTAGAGAGTTGAATAAGTCAGTGTGCTATCTATCGTAGTTACTTTGTACAATTAAATTGATTTGTTTACATTTTTTAATGGAATTTATAATATTGGCCTACAAACATACTCACGACAGTATAAAAGTGTTCAAGTTTGTAGAAAATAAATAATTTATTGTAATTACATGAACTAAATGTTGAATTATTTTCACAAGATAATCTAAAAGAACCCGCCAACGAAAGAACGATATTACAACATTTGTTATCATAAGTTGGATATTTTGGTGGAAATTTAATAGGACTTTGAATATGTTTGAAATTGTTTCTTTGAAGTTAAGCACAAAGCTACACAATGGGCTGTCTTTGCTCTGCCCACCACGGGTATCGAAATCCGGTTTTTAGCGTTGTAACTCCGCAGACATACAGCTGTGCCACTGGGAGGCTTTTGAAATTGAACCTGAATTGTTGAAAATAATGACCAGGAGGTCAAATAGTGAAATTCAAGTATTACTTGACATGATGAAATTATTAAGACAATAGCGGGGAGAACGGACAGAAAACTAGAGGAAAGGGATAGAAAAATAAAAACATCAAGAAGAAAGAGAGAAAAAATCAAAAGAAGAACAAGAGAGAGACAGACAGACAGAGAATATTAGAACAGCACCAAGAGGTAAAACACGGAAATTTAAGAGAGTAGGTAAAAGGAAGAGGCCTATTATTTAAAGAAGAATTAAAATGAAAAATAAATCTGATTGAAGACCAGATGGATGAAGCTATTGAAAATGGATAGAAATATTATAACAGCAAGTTAAAAGAAATGCAGAGAGCCGTCAAAAAAGTACTAAATGCTGCGATGATAAAACTGAAGATCTTCAAAAAGATATCAACGGGGGTAGAAAAGACCATTATTGGGTTAGAAAAGAACATCAGTGACAGATAAAGTCATCTGACAAATGAGTTATTTAAATGCATTGATTAAACCAACCACACCTTTTCGTGCATCAGCTTGAGAGTTCCGTCCTGGAATGCCATCCGCTACAAAATATGGAATAGAATAAGTTATTTGGTCTACACCTATTACCACTACTGTTGTGTCACCTGTTACTGAAGGACCTTCCTGGATTTCTCCAGACATGATACCACCAAATCCAGTTGTAGAATTTAGCTGGTGTATTCAATAATGGCCAATTGAGAAACCATCAGATTATGATAGGAAGGTACTATGGAAGTCATACCATGTTCAGTTTGAAATCATTTCCAGAGTATATAATTGGAATAGCAAACACAAAACCATCCACTTTGCTGCCAATCTAAAAGGACCAGCTTTGACAATATTTAATAACCTTCCAGCTGAGAGCTATAACAATTGCCAAGCATCTGTAACTGCCTTATCCAACACGTTCAGAGTGTCTCACCAATATCCAGAGCAAAGTTTTAGAACAGGGTACGGAAGAAGAAGAATTGGCCTTTGCTGAACTTGCAGCATATCTATAAAGGATTGCTAATTATTTTACCTAAATGTTCCTCTTGACATCACGGATTTGCTAAGACATGAAGTTGAAGCAAATTAGTTGGTGATGGAAGTAGAATACATTAAAGTTACAGATAAATGACTAAAGACGCCATCTTGATGTTATGGGATCGTCAGATTAAGTGGTGTTGAAACAACAACTCCCATTGATTACAGTTTAGAAGTATTAAAAAGACTAGTTAGACAACTAATGACAAAGAATGAAGGAAATACATGACAAGACAATAAGTCTTTCAAGTGAAATTTGAAAGGATATATTATAAATAACTGCGAATAAACGCTTATAAAAAAAATAAGAACTCTTTCCATGGATACCAGGAAGAGGAAACTTTTTAGATGTGATCAACCTGGCCATTACAGTCGAGATTGTGAGGGATCAGCAGTTGTTGAGACACCAAAGAGACAATATCCTAAGGGTGCATCTTCAAGCCCAACCAAACTGGAGAAACAACTAATGGCTAACCAAACATCAGGAAATAGGAATAAAATGGACTTATAAATCAAAGTTCAGCTGCGAATACCCCATATTTACCAAATGAAACAAGAAGT